GGGTCTCGCTCTTGCTCAGGCTGGTTTCAAACTCCTGAGCTCAAGCAATCCGCCCGCCTCGACCTCCCAGAGTGCTAGGATTACCGGCGTGAGCCACCGCGCTCGGCCAATGTGATGAATTTTGATGGATAATTACAGCGGGAGCCATCACCACAATCAAAATCCAACTCTCATTTTTAGGGAAAAAGGGTAAAAATTCAAATATTTCCATCACCCCAAAAGCCTCACACACCTTTATAATTGGATATGTTTTCTTTTCTTCAAGGGCAGAGGCCCAGGCCTTACGCCCCAGAGCATAACACATTATAGCAGCCTTTCTTACTAATTCACAACTGGGGACTAGGTGTGAGGTGACCAGCTACCCAGATTGGCCCAGGACTGAAGGGGGTTTCTAAGATATGGCTAAAGATTTCGGCTAAAACTGGGAATGTCGAAGAAAAATAGGGTGAATTGGTTACCCTAAGTGTGGCCTGAAGCTGCCAGGTGCTTTACATGCATTAAATCCACATAACTGCTCTATGAGATGTGTATTAATAGTAACGTGATTCCAACGGAGAACCAGCATGCTGAAAGGTTAAGTAACTTGCCTGAATTAATTCAGTTAATTGATAGATATAGGAGTTGAAATTTGGGCTTTTGTACTCTCCATCATTATGTTTTCTGCCATTATTGTTAAATGGACTATCCAGAGAAAGAAAACACCCCACCCACACTTACCTGGGTTTGCCCAGAGATAGTAGTAGAATTTTTGAGTTGATCACGTGAATATGAAGCCTCGGGCGGTTAAGAAGCAATGATAACACTCGCTACTTTCTTGAGTCCTGCCAAAACCTGTATATTAGGGACCATTCTAGTTTGTGTAAAGGGTAATGGGGCATGGGAGAAATCTGATGCTTTGAACACACACATATAAGGTATATTACTCCAAAAAACGTGGCTACTTAGAAGAAGAACAGATGAGAAGTCCTGATCAGTTTGCAATCTTTTCCCTGAAAGTTGCTGGAGAAAATCTTACATTCAAGGCGACAGATTTTTAAGTCGTAACCTCATAGACACAAACTGGCCCTCAATAATGTCCTTAAATTTTACATGTTTCTAGTGCCCTCTCTGAGATGACCACCTCACTGCCACTCAAAACTCCTTTGCCCCTCTGTTAACTGATGAAATATCGACTGTTCCATCTTCTTTGGCTTTGCCAAGACTTCATCCCTCTTTTTTTTTTTTTTTTTATTGCAGGGTATTATGAGGGTATAAACATTTTGGTTACGTTTTATGTCTTTGCCTCACCCAAGCGAGGGTTAGAGGCATGCCCTTCCCCTCTACAATGCTCACCGTGTCCTTTAGCTGTGAGTTTACCACCCCCCTTTCATCCCTCTTTTTATCCCTTTCTTCTGAGTCATCTGTTTCTTCTTTTCTGCTTATGTTACTATCTTCATTAGCATGTATGTTCTAGTCCATGCATTCCTCTTCCACTACTCCCATTTCTCCACTCTCCTTCACAGCCATGCTTCTCGAAAGAATTGTCCCTACTTCTCACCCCTCTGTGTTCTTCCACCCACCATCATCCAGCTTCTATCCTGAAGAGCCATGGAAATGATCGCAGTCAAGCTCACCAATGACCTCCATTTTGCTAAATCTAATAGATACCCTTGTCCTCACTGCAGTCAATCGTTAATTAGTGTTCTTCCAAGTTGACCTCCACTCATTGTAGAAAGCTTCCTTCTCTTGGCTTCCAAAACACCATTCTCCTACCCGATTGGCTATTCCTTTCAGTTCTTCCTCTGCCTGATCTTTAGATGTTGAGATTCCACAGGGCTGGGCTCTTTTCCTCTCTCTAAACCTTCTAGGCAATAACATCTATTCTTGTGGACTTAAATGTCATCTTTAATTTCTCTCTCCAACTCTTAAAGTGCTGGTCCTCCTAATCTAACTGCCCCGTTCATGGCTCCACTTTGATGTCTGACACATTTAACATGTGCAAAATGGAGCTCTAGATTCTGTGTTTTGCCTTCCCAGCACTCAGCCTCCCCCTTCTGGTTTTCTCCACCATCCATCTGGTTGCTTAAACCAGAAATGCAGAAGTTATCCTTGAATCCTCTCTTTCCTCACTGCTAATAAGCAATCCAACTTCAATTCCTACACCTTTTCTCCAAAATATATTTAAAATCCTTCATTATTCTGTAAGTCTCTTGGCCACCACCTTACTCCAAGGCACCATCATCTCTACTTATCTCCTCATTTCTTTCTTCCTCCTTCTAATCCATTTTCCACATAACAGCCAGCGTGATATTACAGCCCAAATCAGATTATGTTTCTGTCCTTCAACGATTTCCTACAGTTCTTAGAATAAAATCCAAACTCCTGATTATGGCTGAAAAAGTCCCATAGGAACTAGCCCCAGCCTACCTTTCAGACCTTATCTTGGGTCGCTTTCTTAATCTAGCCATGTTTTAGTTTCAGGCACTTGCCAAGATTTTTCCTAGGAGCTCTCTCTACCTGGAACGCTCCCCCTGGCTCTTTACTTGGCTGACTCATTCTCTTCTTTCAGAATGAGCTTAAAGTTCATCTCTAAGAGTTCTTCCCTGATCACCCTCTCAGTGTGTTGTGTTCCCTTTATAATTCATTACAATTTGAAATTATTTTATTTTCATATTTGCTGGTTTTTTCTCTTTCTTTCCTTCTTTCTTTCTTCCTTTCTTT